TAAAAAATGTTATGACATATTTGTTGGTTAATGTTTGATACGACAATCACAATGCGATTAATATTGATACAATGTTGTATTAGTAATTAAATTTTAACCTACAACGTGCTCGCAAAAGAGAAAGAATATTCCTTCTTTCTCTTTCACATATTGACAAAGTGAAGTTATGATTAGACTTTTTTTGTAAGAACTGTAGTTTTACAATATCGTGATAACGATTCTTGCATATATTAAAATATCACATTTTATATACGAGAAACATCTAAAACATAATTTCACATTTTGTATAAAAATAGTGCACAACTGAAATGTAATGCAAACATTAGACTACTTATATAACGTGTTATATTAAAGTTATGTTGCTGTTATATTGTTGATGTAACTTAACTAGTAAATAACATGATAACATAACAATTTTATAACAGAGTTATATCGCAGTTATAAAGGAAATTAAGAATTAACCTCAATATTAATAACATATAACAGCAGTTATATTACATGTTACTCCTGTGTTATATCACAATTATGTTCTGTGTTTGCTGGGTAGCTAGCCCAATTGAAATTTCCAAAGGAATCTTATTTTTGGCTTTAAGATAAAGCGTTGTTTTCAATATTCCAAATTTCGTTGCTTCACACATATTCATTCTTTTTTTAATTGCTTCTATAGCAATGTTAAGAATAGTTTGTGAGTAAATCCTTTTTTCTTTCCTTCTCCATAGTAAAATTAACAAAAATTATCAATTAATAAATAAAACTAAAATTAACAAACATATCAAACAAAAATAATATCTGATATAGCGTTGTGAATGACAGAGAGCACAGATCTCCAAGAGACGTCCTAAAGGTGTTCAGAAAACATCATATGTCCTAGAATAAAGATTGTCATTAGACGTTCTTAAAAAAGTCTGTTTCTATCGAGAAATGACTCGTTAATCAACGAATTATTTCTCGCTGGGTTATAGGTTTATGCTGTTTGAAAAGAATTAGATTAGATTAGATTAATTCACTGTCTTGTTGTTTTACTATAATTTTATTATTTTATCTAAGAATATATCTAAGATTGCAACGTAAAAATTTTTATTTATTTTTTACTTATTTTTAATAGGAATTTTTACTGCTTATGTGTGTGCGTGTAAGTAACTCACAATATTATTTTTATTAACTTAATTTATAGTACTGATAGTACTTAACGTATAGTATTATCTGATAACTTACATTTAGAGAAATTATTATATGTTTAAGTAAATATTAGTAAAATTTCCATAAATAGTTTAAAGATATAGACATCATATCTTGTTCAAGTTGATAAGAAACTAAATAAAAATATTTATCTCTATAATTTACAAAATAAATATATTTTTTTACGACAACTTATAATTAAATTATATTTTTTTATAATTTATTTCGTTAAAAAATATTGAATATTTTTTTTAGTTTAATATTTTATTCCATTTATTAGTAATCATCTTAATAAACACATCAATATTATTGGTATTTCAATATCATTGGGACATGTTCAATAAGACGTTTATCTTTGTTATCCTGCATAAAATTTACTCTCATAAGATACAACTTAAAAGCTACACAACTTAAAAGCTATAATTATTTTCTTTGAAAGACTAATTTAATTTTTAAAAGTCTTAGAAGTCCTCATCGACAAAATTACGTACTCGAAACGACATCAATTGTAACAGACCGTATACGTTTCCGAGTCGAAATCTTCTAACAAATAGTGGCGAATCATAATACATATATAAATATATTGGAAGTGTGCATTAATTTTAAAGGGTTTTCAAGAGATGGCGTAACTAGTACTATATCACATCGAGCCATATTGTTGCTACCTTTATGTCAAAGCATCATATGGCTTTAGTTTTCAGTATGTGTCATTTTGCCGAAGTGTAAACAACATTGTCTTTTTGAGCATCGAATATGTCGAATTTTGTGCCAATAAAATGCAATTTGCAGGAAGCTTTGCTTTTTTGCTTCCATTTGAAGAAAAATTCTGCTGAAAGTCAACGAATGCTGTCGGAAGCTTATGGTGATTACTCCATCGATTTCAACATGTGAGTACTAGTTTCGACGCTATAAAAAAGATGATTTTGACACGGAAGACAAGGAATGTCCAGCCGAAAAAGTTTGAAGATAAGGAAGTGGAAGCTTTACTCGATCAAGACCCGAGTGAAACGCAAGAAGAACTTGCAGAATCATTAAATGTTGATTGATCAACGATTTTCAGACGTTTGAAGGCCATTGGAATGATTCAAAAGCAAGGAAATTGGGTGCGTAAAAGTTGAAGCCGAGGGACGTCGAAAGGCGCAAAATAACCTGTAAATTGTTGCTTCAAAGACATAGAAGAAAAAGTTATTTGCATCGTATCGTGACGGGTGATGAAAAATGGATACGCTACGATAATCCGAAGCAAAAAAATCATGGTGCAGGCTAGATAAACCATCAACATCGACGTCAACAAAGCCGAATATTCATGGTGCCAAGCTCATGCTCTGTATTTGGTGGGATCAGCTGGGTGTAATGTATTATGAGCTGCTCCAACCCAACGAAATCATCATTGGGGAACGCTATCAACAACAATTGATGCAATTGAGCCGAGCATTAAAGCAAAAATGGTCAGATTACGCGAAAAGACACGACAAAGTGATTTTCCAGCACGATAACGCTCGGCCACATGTTGCGAAACCGGTCAAGGAAACGTTAGAAGCGCTTAACTGGGATGTCCTACCACACCCGCCGTATTCTCCAGATATTACTCCTTCCGATTACCACCTATTTCGATCGATGACTCATGGTCTGTCTGAGCAGCGCTTCCATTCTTATGAGGATACCAAAAAATGGGTCGATTCGTGGATAGCCTCAAAAGATGTGTTGTTCTTTCGACATGGAATCCACTTAATACCAGAAAGATGGGAAAAAGTAGTGGCTAGCGATGGACAATATTTCAAATGAATTTGTACAAAAAAATCCTTTAAAATTAATGCTCCCAATATAAAAAAATCCCATATATAAAATGTTAATTTTATGGAGGTTTTATGTTATTCAAATTATTTTTCCCTCTAGGAAAATTTTGAGGCATAAATTATTTTCGAAATACGAACGATTGAAATTTCATAAACTAAACTTTGAACGATTAAATAATTAATAAAATTATTTTCATTAAAACTTTAACAGAACTTTAGGCATTAATTACATAATTATATTATGTTGACAATTGGAAAATCCATAAATAATAAACACCTTCAACATTTTTAATGGAGAACATTTTTCTCCAAATTGCTCAAAAAACTTCGAGATAAAATTGAGATTACGAAGCCTGGAACACTGCATACATATTTTTGCTCTAAACTATCTTACTGTATATTTTATATCGCTTTGCACAAAAAGCAGTGTTGGGTAAGTTTGCTTTTTTTAACTAAGTTAAGTTAAAGTTAATTGTTTTGAAAATTTAACTTACAAGGGGAACATCAGGTGACTATTCCAAGAATTTTGTTGCAAAATTTTATAGGCTGTTCTTGGGCGAAAAAATGATGTGTCCGGCCGTTTCAGCCAATGGGTCATAGTTTCGAAGAAATCGATTTTTAAAAATGACTTTAGTCGACCGCGACACACTTGTTACGTTTGATCGTCACTATTGAACTGAATAGCAGCGATAGCGCAGTTGGCTTCGTACGCAGTAGGTTGCGTGTTCAAATCTCGTCTCATTTATTTTTTCTTTAAAAATTTGTTCTTATCTAATTTTATTATTGTAGATATACACGAAAAAGATTATTTATTTAATTATATTGATATATTTTTCTTGTAAATGAAATTAAAAAGTTTTTAAATAATTATTGTAATAATTTGAAAAATCTGAATAAAGAAATATTATTATCTTTATAAATTTCATTTGATTGTCGAAAATTAACCCTTCTGCAGTGGACAGCTTTTCGACGTCTCGTGACGTTCTTTATGCCGTGGTTAGCTTCAAGATAATTGAATTAAAAGTTAATAGTTACCAATGAAATGTAACTGAGTTAAGTTAAAAGTTAAAAGTGTAAAAATGTAACTAAGTTAAGTTAAAGCTATTTAACTTTTTAACTTTTTAACTTAACTTTTAACTAGTTAAACTTTTAATTTTTAACTTTTTAACTAGTTACTACCTAATCCTGAAAAAAGTAATTAATATGTTAATATCATAAATGGATTATATATAGGTACAATATATGTACATTGAGGGAAAAATACTTAAAAAATAAAAAATATTTATTTTTGATAGCTATTATAATAACATATTTACACATTTTAATACTAATATACATATTTTTACATTAAGAAAAATTTCTTTTGAATGAGAAAAAATATATTTTTCTAAAATCGTGTTGCTTTTGATAAAAACAATTGTTTATTTTATTTAAACAATAAATTTTTATATAAAGCATCTACCAAATAAATATTCTTTATTTTTTAGATATTTTTTCTTCTTTTAATGTATACATCAATAAGTGGTTGTTTTAGGACAAAAACATTCTCATTAAAAAGATTGCTGCACCAATTAAGAGTTGGGTTGGATTTACCATTAATTGGAGCGTAAAATTAATTATAGACTTAAGATGAAATACCGGAGATTAATTTACGGCGATGTTAAAGGTGGTAGCATGAAATGACGTTTGTAGAACATTTTATAAATTGGTGAAAAGTTGAAAAGTTTTGTGCGAAATAATTTTTCATAAATAATACGTTTAAACTCGATTCTAATTAACAGAGGAAGTTTCGATCACAATTAGTGTTTTTCAGTCCTATCTCATGAAACTTATTATATGGTTGCAGGTGATACTCGTGAAGTGGAACGAACCTTACCAGAAGTTGGCTACGTGCGACAGTTCGGGTGTAATCTTCGTTTGGATCAAATATGAAGGACGATGGAGTATAGAATTAATCAACGACAGAAGCACACCTGTTACGCACTTTTCTTGGTCCCACGACGGACGCATGGCGCTCATATGTTACAGGGTGAATTATAGCATTTGTTAGACTTACGAAACGAGAAAACAGTAATTTGGTAAAACTACAATTTAGGGAAGTCAGCTCGAATTGCCTTGATTTTGATATGTTATAGAGGTTAATCTCCTGAGTAATTTTGAGAAAGTTTTAGCCGTCGCTTGTTGTTTGTTAAAAAGTTATTAACAAAAGAAGTTACATAAAATAAATGTAATTTTTGGACACTGTATATACAAAAACATCAAATTTGTAGGCTAGAAAGATGCCTGCCCCTAACCCTGTGACAGAGACTACGCCCCCCAGATCCTCCGCACCGGGCCGGGGGAGGGGGCGTAGTCTTTTTTATAAGAAGTTCTCACTCTTTAGAAAATACATCTTTTTTCATAAAATTTCTAAGGTAAACGTTTCATATACAATCTGAAGAAACTACACCATATTTGCGAAACTTTTTTTGTTTATAATTTTGAGCTTAAGCACATTACACACGGCTAGAGACAGACACCTTCTTAACCTACAAACCTTGTTTGTAATGGATATACTATGGTTTCTAATGGATATACTATGTATCTCGTTATTTATTAGTTATTCACGGTGTCGAAATACTATGTCCTGTTTAGTAAAATTCTTTTGTTAATAACTTTTTAATAAATAACGAGCGACGGCTAAGACCTATCAATCATGGTAATGGATCAAGGAAATTGAAGCTGACTCTCCTAAAGCAGTTTTTTACCTTTTAAAAATTAACCATAATAAAGAAACGTTTACTTACTTCATTGATACGCGTCGTTGTTCAGTTTAAAGTATATTTTGTCGTGACGCGGTTAAAATGCACTTATGACTGCTATAAATGTGCTATGCGGTTTTGTGGAGGATCATTTGCAGAGAATGTGATATTTTATTACAGGACGGTTTTGTACTGGTCGGCAGTGTCGCTGGTCAGAGGTATTGGTCGTCGATGCTCAACGACAAAGCAACGATAACTTGTGGCATTTGGACTCCGGATGATCAGCAGGTTTGAAAACAGTTTCTGATATTATGGCATAGCATTAATAACAAGTCGTTTTATAGAATTGACTAGTTTGAAACATGATATTAAAGTAGACTTTCCGAAAGAAAAATGGTTATACATAATTATATGTTAATTTTATTTGTATATTCCTATATGTAAACATATATAATTGTATACAGGATGTCCCGCATAAGACGTCCAACAAGAAAAATGTAAATAGAACAAATAAAAGTGAACAAATATTGTAGAGGTTTTTCAAACAACCACGTAAAATTTCGAGATATTAATTAAAATATTATAGTTGGGCATATCAGAGCGCGCGACGCGGCAGGCGGGACATACGGCTCGCCGCGGCCGGCGAAGAAAATGGACGATTGCTCGCTAGGCTATCACGCAGTGTCAGATCTAAGACGTAGTCCTCATCTCTAAGCTTATGAGATAGGCCCGCGACTAATCGTCCATTTTCTTCGTTGACCGTAGCAAACCGTATGTCCTGCCTGCCGCATCGCTGCGCTCTGATTGGCTCAACTATTTTAATTCATATCTCGAAATTTTACGTGGTTGTTTGAAAAATAACCTCTACAATATTTGTTCACTTTTATCTGTTCTACTTATATTTTTCTTGTTGGACGTCTTATGCGGGACACCCTGTATATCTACATAAGAAAAGTGCTGCTATACAATTAAAATAACTCCTTATATTCGTAGCAGACCGTGATGTTGACATTTAAGGAAAAGTTCCAGTTTAGATAGAAAAATACGATATTTTCACGAATTTTTTTTAATATAAATAAAGATGTTAATATGAAATTTTGATTATACTATTTATTGTTGTTTTAAATATAAAAAATTATTTTTTCATTAAAAAATTATTTTTTCATTAAAAAATTATTTTTTCGTTAAAAAGAATTGAAATTCCATTGTCTAGGTTTTCTTGCCGAGTATGGTATCGCCGAATGTCTCTGAATGACGAATAACATTATAGCTATAAAATATATAATCTAAAACATATAAAACTATAAAATTAAAAAAAAACTACTAAATTTATTAGAGGATGAACATTTATTTTTAGTAATTCAAAATTTAACAAAATAGTGGCGTTTCAAAGTTATTTTTTTCTCTTTTTTACTTAATGTCTGGGGAAAAATATTTTAGAGATTTCTAAAAAATACACGATTATTCCGCAATAAATTACAGTTTCTAAATTTTCTTGTCTTATTTGTTTCAGATTATTACATGAGCTTTAATGTTGTCCATTAGTTAGAGACTTCCGACAACAAATGTGCAGTACAAATAATTTGGACGAAATTTCAATTATTTTTAATTTTTTTTATATACTTAAGACGATGATAAATAGTATGATCAAATCTTCACATTAATGTTTTTATTTATTATTTTGAAAAAAAATTTTTTATTTTGCGGCTGTTTATATATAAACCTTCGCTTAATTTAATAAAACTCTTTTTTTATTTAATAGCATTTTCTTTCTTTGTAAATATATATAATTATATGTGATTATATGTATCTACATAGAAACAAAATTTATATATAATTAGATATATATAACTTTTATATTATATTTGTATACAATTTTGTACACATAATTATATGTAATGCTTTTTGTTCGGGTCGACATAGGACCACAAAGTGTTACAAAATTTATTATTATATTCTTTTATTGCCAACGTGAATGCCCTCGGCTAATTAGAGATTTGACATTACCACGGTGAAGATTCGTCTAGAATGGAACATTAATAAAGTACTTTACTCACTTTTAACGTTGTCCGTTAACAAAGGTCTATTTCGGCACAACCGCGGGCCAGTTAATTGTGATGGACGTTCACGGAGCTATGGTGTCGGAAATACAATTGGGAGCTGGCGTTACATCGATGGCCTGGAGCGCCGAAAAGTTTATCATGGAGGAAGGAGACGATGACGTAACGAGCGACCGGTCGCAGAAAGGTATTAATCGCAGCTTTTACGGAGTACTCTTGTCAAACTCGGAGCAAACTATTGAGACGTGTTAATACATTTACATGTATGCAAGCACAGATGATCGAAGTTATGTGTTAGCCGTCTGTCTCGCTGATGGCAGCATCGTCATGCTGCACTCGTTTGATGACGTGTCGCCGATCACGATACGCAGTAAACTGAAGACACCTCTGCATGCCGAATGGAGCAACTCTAGGAAACTGTTGGCCATTGCCGGTACGAAGGAGCCCGACGTTCTTCAGAGCAATCCACAGGAGTACACGAATCTACTGAAATTTTACTCAGTCAATGGTACCCTTGTATACACGACAACAATTCCATACACGCAAGTACGTCTCGTAGGAAGAACGATCGTCTATCCTTAGCTCGCTATAATTGAATAATTTATTTTACAATTTTCCACACGGCCTGTACAGTGTCCAGTATCGGCATTGACGTGGGGTCATAATGATAGGCGGCTCTTTGTTGCGACTGGAGCACGCGTTCACTCGGCTTGGGTCTCCAGGTAATGTTTCACCTTGTTATTCGTATACTTCAGTTTTCATCGATCATATCTCGTGAATAATATATGGTTTATACTTTTATAAAAGCCTCGACCGATAGGAGGACAATAGTGATAGATACTGATAGAATCGATATAATCGATATTGATAGAATGGAAATAATAAAGCGATTTAGTAAATAATAAAAAAGAAAGAAATTAAGAAAACACACATAATTGAGGAAAGATAAACAGTCTATTTCGAAAAATTTATTAGTACAAGTAAGACAATTTAAACAGTTATTTTGATCGAAAGGGACTCATCAAGATGTATGAAAAATTTAGGCGAACAACCTTTGTTATTCACATGTCCTTATTTTTTTCTATTAAACTATTAAAATATAATTTGTACAAATTAAATGATATAACTTAATATCAAAGTTGGGAAAATTAATTTTGAAAACTAAAACGTGTTACTGTTCGTTATTATGTATTGTAAAAAATAACTTATTACGGTTTTAATTATTTAAGAACTAACAAATCGTTATAATTTGTGTTATTTCTTTCATTAAGTTTTGAACTTTTTTAGGATTTGTTTCTGCCTATCCTATGTAGAATCGGCTGATTAAAAGCTATAACACTGTTCTTTGATGAGTTTTGAAATGCATTTCCATCCAGTAGGAAAATTTATTTCCTGACGTTTGCTAAAAAACAAATTCTTCTACTACCCTGTCTACACAGACATGCCAAGAACTTTACAAGCATGTCGTTACGACGTTATTACGTAGCGACGTGCTTGCCACGTCCGGTGCTATCAGGGTAGATACAGGATATATTACAAAATTTATCAAGGAAAGATATAACTTTTAATTAATTAACTATATAGGTGTTGCATCAAAATACAAGTTAGTATAATATATATGTAATTGCTTATTCACTTCGTTGGTAGCGTTCTTAAACACCACGGATTTAGCGATATACAAGGTGTCCCAGACTCTTTTCCGCATATTTTGTGGGAATGTAGAATAAATTGAGATGAACATAAAAGCCCTACATCGTTTTGTGATATTCGCAATAATAATCGATAAATTAATTGTAAAAGATTAAGAAAAAACGCAAGCTGAATGATTGAGGCTGGAGCGCTCGCGGCCTAATAATATAACGTACGGACGTCGGCGCGCGGTGATTGGAAAAACCACGCACCATTTCTTATATTTATATCGCTGCACTCCTACATCTCGCCGCGGTACGGCAAGACGCAGAATCATAGCGATATAAGCCGCGCGCTGACATCTGCCTGCTATATATCTGGCTGCGTTCCGAAATTCACTGCCAGTACTGAAATTCTATAATATACGTAACTATAGATCTTCAGTACTGGCAGTGAAAATCAGAACACAGCCTATATTACTAGGTCGCGAGCTTTTGCCTTAACCATTCAGCGGGCATTTCTCCTTAATATTTTACAATTAATTTCTCAGTTATTATTGCGAATATCACAAAACGGTATAGGATTTTTACGTTCACCTCAACCCGTTCTACATTCTTACAAAATATGCGGAGGAGAATGTAGGACACACTGTATATACATTTACGAAACAATTGGTGCACATTTTCTCATATTTCTTAATTTTTTATTTTTGTTGGTAAAAATAATTGGTAAATTTTTAGAATAACGGACCCAGCAGCTATGACCTTGACTTTTATATATATGATAGAGATCACTCTACTGAGTAACCTTCAGAAGGTTTTAGCCGTCGCTCGTTGTTTATTAAAAAGTTATTAACAAAAAAATTTGTATAAAATGAATGTAATTTTTGGACACCGTATATACAAAAACATCGAATTTCTAAGCTAAGAAGATGCTGCTACACGCACATACACATACACACACACACACACACACACACACATACACACACACACACATTGCTTGGCCGCCCGTGCGCTCGCCCGCCCGACAGGGCGGGTTCGTGGTGGGTGCGTATGTACTATTTTATAACACCCACCGTGAGCCCGCCACGAAAAAAAGTTAGACACTTTAATAAACAATGACTGACGAGTAATGTGATGATAGGTTGGGTTAGGTTAGTTTTTAGAGGGGGTGCGGGGGCGCAGCCCCCTACTAGTCGTTCAATATTGCAGTTATTATTCGATATTGCTCATTAACGGTACACAGTATCGAAAAATTGTAATATATTTTTCGAACTTCTTTCATCAATAACTTTTTAACAAACAATGAGCGACGGCTAAAACCTTCTGAAGGTTTACCAGGTGGGCATTGCTCAGGAGGGTGACCTCTATCATATATATGAAGGTCAAGATCATAGCTGCTGGGTCCGTTATTCTAAAGATTTACCAAATAATTTAATCGTTTTGTAAATAATTATACTGTTAAGTTTTGTATACAAATGAGCGCACTTGCCAGCGAAGTGAGTAGGTAAATAGTCATATTGATGATATACCTGTATGTTGGTGCAGAATAAGAATCTATTTGCAAAGTAACGGTGAAAGTAGCGATTATATTCGTTACCGTTACTCAAAAAGTTTTCCAAAAAGTGAAATTGTGTTATCGTTACCGTTACTAATGAAATAGAAATGTCCCTTCAAAATTGTTATTGAAGAAAACTTACTTGTATTAATAATGACGTTACTTCTTGACCGTGCTTAATATTCAATATGAAGGAAAAAGCTAATAAATCGTAAAGCGAGAGAATTTTACATTTTTTTAGATATTGTTACTTCCACTATTCCAGCAAAGTAACAAACGGTACGACGAAGTAAATGTTTTTTTTTTACAGAAGAGTTGGCTCGCTTCAGTTGTTATCCAGATTGGCAGTGAGAGCAGCTCTTGCGAGGGAATCTAACGTGCAACAACTTCCATTACCGCCGCGACTGAAGGCTTCAGTGGCTGCCCTTTTCGCTAGCACAATACGGTAAACAGAGTTCCTATGAATAATCACGAAAGAACTTTGCTCCGCCGCGAAAGAGATTCTGGAAAGAGAACTGGGTGTGCTCTCGTGCATTTTTCAGATGTTCAGTACCGGAGCCGAGGGAGTTGCGTCGATTCGTGTCAAGGCCACCACCGGGAGGGAGCCGGTTACATTGCACGATGCTGAGGCACGCCGTGGAACCTATGCCATGTTATACGCTCTATCTGGAATATTTAGGCGGCCTCGTGCCACTCTTAAAGGGTAGACGAATTAGTAAAATCAGGCCTGAATTCGTAATATTTGACCCGCAAAATCAAGAGACTTCACACATATTCGACGAAGTGTCACAGTGTCCATCGTTCAGTGACGGCTCGGATACTGAAAGGGACACTGCGGACCTGTGCGGCTCGCCACGGAACAGAAAGAAGTGTAGGAGAAGAAGAGAGGAGAAATGGAACGATGAAACGGACGACCTCACGTATGCGGATACCTTACCAGAGGTAGGACGATCTTTCACGTCTTATATATTTTGGAAGAGAAAAAGTTAACTTTCTACTGATGAATTCTATTGACACTTAAAGCTGAAAATCGAAAAAAACCGAGCGTTAACTCTTTTTTCTTCCCACACACACAGACGCGGATATATTTTGAATGTATTATTTTAACAGCTATATTTCGCTTGACTTGATAAATGGCATGGCGCCCGTAAGCCCAACGAACTGTCTGTATCCCAGAGGACAGGACGTTACTCGCGTGACGGGCGCGATTATTGCATGGGGATTTCTAATAGGGCGTATCTGTCCGCAGCACGCGAGACTGGTCGAGGTAACGTCGAACATCTGGGGCACGAAATTCAAGTTTCACGGTTTAGCGGATTCAATTCCCGCTAACCTAGGTCAAGTGACTTATCGAACATCGTTACTGCATTTACAACCAAGACAAATGACGCTCGTGATGACGGAACTTCGTGACGATTTACCTTCAGGTAAATGAACAATTGATAATAGCACTCTTTTCTTATCTATTATTGAATAACCGTTATCAAAAAATAATGTTAACTTTATTAAATATGTAGAGTAATAGTTGATTAATAAAATAGCCATTTTCATTAATTTCATAAATGCAATAACTGTTCAATAAAACCTTAGATTTTTAAAGAGGCAACATTGAGATTCGATATATCGAAAATTGCTATTATGTATGTCTAATGATAGGTAAAGTTAATCTTAATGATTATTTTAATTGGGAAAACTTACCTCATAATTAGCTTTAAAAGGCACTTCATTAACATTTCATGATATACTAAAAATATCTAACAAAAATATTACTAGTCTAAACCTTACTGGAATACTTCATGTCTATTAGTCGCTATGGATACAATATAGCGTTTGGTTTAAATTGTAAAACGAAACTATACAATGTCACTTCTCTGTAACCTAGGGTCCTATTACTCAAGGATATTATTATGTATTTGTTTGGAGTGAATTACGACCGAAGTAATTCAGTTATTGCCTAGATTTTTATTGTTTTTCGAGGAAAATGAAATTATTTCTATTGGAATCTGTCCAGGACAAAACTATAATAACACTAAAGGATTCGAATCTTAAATAATAGAAAATTGTTTAGAGAATGTGACCAACTCGAATATTCTGATAACTAATTAATTTACGAATTAACATGTACGTTACCAGCGTCACACATATATGATACACTGATTTCTTAAGATTCGTCTATAATATGTGGAGTAAGATTGACACAAATTAGTAGGTATAGAACCGGGGTTCTAACTCAGGTCCTCTAAGGGGGGTGCGGGGGGTATGACGTCACGGGAGTGGGCATGCCGACATTACCAACGGTCGGTAATTGGGAGTATACCGATATTACCGACAGTCGGTAATTTATTACCGATATTAGATACCAACATTTAATTACATAATTTTTTATCAACATATATTTACATAACTTTACTTTTACGGGCATATTTACATAATACCAATATTGCCGACGATCGGTAATTACCGATCTTATGTCTGATCATCTATACTGATGTTTATATTTGAAATCTTTTTTCGAAAGATCATTTTATCGATCCGTGGCAGATTTTTCGTGGCAGTTCGCGACGTACTTTGCGGTGGTTCGGTTCCGCGGCGGATTTTGCGAAGGATTTTCAGCGCCGTCCGCGCCGCCCGCGCCGTCTGCACCGTCCGCGTCGCCCGCACCGGCCGCGCTGCCAGCACCGCTCGCTCGCGTATTTTGCGGCGTATATTTTATTTTAAGTCGCAGCTTCAAAATCTAAGAATTTGCAAACGTATTAAATATCATTGCGAACATTTCGCAAACGTATGCATTCGACAGTACGATGCGCAAGAAGAAGAATGTGACACAATGATATTCTTATTATTAATGAGTACGTACACTGTGCTCCTGCGACAAGATTCTGTAAGCATTTGCGTGTTATGTATCACTCGCTGTGCTCCACAAAAGACCAAATAACATTTAAAGACAATTTGTGGTGTATCAAAAAATAGGGAAAGGAAAAGGAGTAATATAAATAAACAGCAGATCTTGTGATTACAATTTATATATTTTGAAAGTGTTACATATACAGATTATTTGTTTAATACTTCATACATAATATCATTTATTCCGCTTTAACCGATGATTACCACAGTGATTACGGCTATGACTTCGAAAGTGGAAGAGTTAAAATTCTAAAGAATTCTGAAGTTAATAGTATAAATAATCGAACGAAAGCGTGCGCCACATCTTTTTATTATACTAAAGACACAGAACATTTCTGCGAGTCTTACTGTCACACGTATTTATTTGTAATAATATCCTGTTTCACATTTTTTGCGCATCTTAATATCGATCATAAATCGATGTGTCAGCACAAAAATGCTGCATTGTGACGCTTAAAAGAGAGAAAGATCTTACATGAATATTTACGGACTGTATCTTTAATATAAATATCGGAAATATACTTTTTCGATGATGCAGTATGGCGCGAACACTCAATCGATATATGAGTATTCGATTGGTTATCTATGGCGTCGTATCAGAGATTTGTTAAATGATTTGATAAAATGTATTTGTCTGTGCACTATGTTTTCTAGCAATCACAAATATAGTGACACGAATATGTGCAGTGCGCACATATGCAACAGAACGATACATTGCAATTAGAGACATCTATTGTTCGAGGTGTAGAGAGTCAGTATGCCAGATAATACCGACTAATTTGTGCCCAATATGCACTAAGTAAATCCAGTGTGTACTTCGTAAAAAGAAAAGGAAGATTTTGCGCAAATCGAGCGAGAATTGCGGAGCAGTCGGCTCGACTGAATTTGCGAGACGAATACGACGTGTGGGTACGAAAGTTTGACGAGTGCTTTGAGTTGTTGGAAGAACATAGTTAGGCTAAACGACCGCGATTATCGATCGGTACTAGACAGTCATTGATTGCTCGAATCGCGCAACTCGAGGGTTTAAAGAATACGTTGCGCACACGTTTTGTCCACGCAGGTGCCGGACACAGCACAAGAGACGCAGGATTCGTTTGGTGCGAGGTCGATACCGCGTTCGATAGCTGCGTATTAACCGGAGTTGTTATCAACGGGAACTACATCGAACCTCGTCAATTTCTCGAGGATGCAAAGACTATGGTACTCGAGCACGTACGGGACGCCATGGAGAGACACGTAAACGTGAAAACGAACACTGGGTTTAATAGTGAGTTCGTCGCGGGTGAAAAACGTGCGGTAAAGAACATCACTATGAAAAATTGTGAGCTCTTCTCCACATATAACAAGAGGAGTGATACGAGCGATGCATCGTCGAGCCTAGTTTGGCATTGTTGGAGGAATTCCAGGAACGCGATAGTGGGTGGGCGTTATCGCGAATACTCAATCTTACAATTAATGTGAACAAATACAATCCGTTGCACGCGGGATGTCACTTTGAGTTACCGCGTGAGATACAGCTGAAGCGAGCTGTGGTTAACGTGAAATCTATGGACAATGCGTGTTTCGCGTGGGTAATAGTCGCGGCTCTGTATCCAGCCGAAAAACACGCAGATCGTGCATCATCGTATCCCCATTACACGAACGTATTCAATCTTCAAGACATTGAGTTTCCCATGAAGATTAATCAAATAAGATTTGAACAATTAAACAATATAACCATCAATGTGTACGGGAGAAAAGAACGAAGCCATTGTTCCGATACGTCTCAGCGACGGAAAGAGGAAAAAGCACGTCAACTTGCTACACATTTCGGATCCTCGAGACCACAACGCGGGGCACTTTGCCTGGATCAAGGACTTATCCCGGCTCGTGAGCTCGCAGTTGAGCAAATATAAAGTCAGAAAATACATTTGCGATCGGTAAGTACATTTCATGAATTCAATGTACCAGAAGTATGCAATAAGACGATAGTAAATAAAAATTGCAATGTTTATAGATGTCTGCACTACTTCCATTCCAACGAGAAACTGGAGAGTCACACAACGGACTGTCAAAAACCAGGGTTGGGAAGTAACGCGTTACTTGTAACATTACTATTTCGTTACTTTTTTTTGGTAACGATTTGATAACGCCGTTACTTTTTTGTATCAGTAACGAAAAAGTAACGGCGTTAAATTTTCTTTAGTAATGAGTAACGAAATTCATCGTTACTTGTATCGTTACTTTTTTACTATAGTAGCTTCTGTACATAAAACGCGGCAACGCTTGCCACGCGACGAAAGTTTGCACACGATAAACAATTAATGTGCTGCTTTCCGTAAAGTCCATTCTACAATAAGCAATAAATCTTAAGTCATAATAAAATTGACCAATCATAGTCGACTATTAGAAGAATAATCTACTGTAATTGGTCAATTTTATTGCGACTTGAAACTTATTGCTTAAATTTTATTGCGACTTAAAACTTATTGCTTATTGTAGAAAGCCTCTAAAGCGTGATTTACAATGAGAACTTAAGCCATAAAATTTAAGCTTTAAGCTCTAAGCTGTAAGAAATTATTTTTCTTATAATTGACTGTGATTAGTCAACTTCTTACGGCTTAGGACGTAAAGCTTAAATTTTATGGCTTAAGTTCTCATTGTAGACCACGCTTAAGGGGTGCCGCACACGAATTGACATAACAGTAACGTAAAACATACCGTAAGAATTGACCAATCACTTTGAATATCGTCGAACCGTAAGGTCACCATTTTTGTGAATACTCGATTGTAATTGGTCCATTTTTACGGTACGTCTTACGTTACTGTTATGTCAATTCGTGTGCGGCGTCCCTAAACCCCATTCTACATTAGTCGCAATCGCAAGATCGCAAGGAAATTGACCAATCATAATTGATTATTCTTCGATCGCAAGAAGAACAATCGACTATGATTAATCAATTTCTTTGCGACCTTGCGATTTGCGACTAATGTAGAATGGGCTTTATGTCGTTATGCAAGAATGTGTGCTTCCCGTTTAAATATCTTATATTTTGTCTTTATATATGTATAATTTATGTATTGTCTCTTTTACTATTCGTTTTATAGGCCGATTTTAACTTTTTTTTTTTACAAAAGTAACGAAAAGTAACGATTTTTTTATCATTACTTTTCAAATAACGGTAACGCGTTACTTTTTAGAATCAGTAACGAGTAACGGTAACGAGTTACTTTTTACCGCAAGTAACGGTAACGGTAACGCGTTACTTTTAAAAAGTAACGTTTCCAACTCTGCCAAAAACTGAACGACTGCGCCATCATTCTGCCTAGCGAAGACAACAAATGGTTGAGTTTTAGGAACCACAGCAGAAAGGAGCGAGTTTCCTTTGTGATATACGCCGACTTAGAGTGCACACTGGAGAAGACAGTAAGAAATGGGGAGGATCGCAAATCGCACACGTATCAGCATCACAGGGTATTTAATACAGCACATTACACACGTTGCTCGTACGACGATTCATTATCCGAATTTCAAAGTCGT